GGTGAGTGTCATTACCGTGAACAAGAACTATGGCGACCAGGCCAAGCTGAGTAACATCCACGTGAAGACGACGAACGGCAACAACGATGTGAAGGTGTGTCAGTGGTCGCAGGGCGGCAGTTCGCCGTCGAACCTGGGCGACGGTCCGTCGGGTACGCTGTGCCAGTACTCGGAGAGCGACGTCCACATCAACGAGTAAATGCGTGGAAGTGTGTGTGCTACAGTTTTGTAAGGTAGAATCAAGATTTGAGTGAAGGAATAGATGTATTTTTGTGAGAACTGTACAGTATCAGCGTGTTGATAGGATCGCCAACAACTTCTCATGTGGTTTTGTATCTCGTAAGTCGTCGAATCAAACTAGCCAGAGCCATCATGACTCATGAGCTAACGCGAACACATCTGGTAGCTACTGGAGCAGCTAGCACACCACTAAATGAGTTGTGCATTTATCGGCAAGACGTTATCGTGGTCGACTACAATGAAGTCGTCTAATCAAACATTCCAAGACATTACTGTATTAATGCTTTCAGTATCTAGTATGGATTCATACAAAAGCAAATCTACCAGTACACTAGAACTGTATTAATTCGATTCAAATTGAAATTCCAGTCGATTATCATGATGTACAAGATATATAATGGCGTTAATTCCCCAATTTACGTATTGAGAAACAAAATCGTGCAGAATTTCGGTTTTTTTTTACGCGAAAGCTAATATAATTGACAAGTGTTTGGGCTCGTCCTTAATCTCACTCATCCTCTGAATCCGTCGCCGGATGTCCATCAACAACGGAGATCCCAGTCCTGGCATACACCGAGCGATCAGCATCCTTGTTGCCACCACAACCCGGTGACGCTTCATCTTCGCCAACGTCGGTACGCCGTCCCTTGATCGCAGGGTCACAGTAACTATCAGGACGAGTGGCACCACACCTGAGTTAACGACACATCTTAGGTGGGTGTTGTAGTACAACGGGAGTTGCGCCATCATGTTCGGGCCATCATCTGTTCTTCAACTGCAACCTGGCGGAACACAAAGACGTGAAGCACGAAGCCAGGACAGCGCTCGCCAAGAGTAGGAAGGTCGGAAGCGCTGATGTATTTCTTTCTTAATTGCAAACTCACTTGTCATCTTTCCAGCTACTTCCCACATCGATTCAAGTCTTCCTCGCTACGACCTAAAAGGTAATGAGTTGCGGTCGGCATGGACCGCTGATCTCGTCCGAGAGTGGAGGTTTATCACCAACTCCTGGAAAGCCGATACAGCCTCACTCGGATGAACCAGCGTAGTCCCCCATGAGGTGTCCGTAACCTTCTCACCTGTTGTAAGTCAGACGATGCTGCCTCTTGGATGGGATATATGCACGCTTCTATTCAAATGCCTCTTATTAAAAACGTTTTTGATAGATCCCAAAATTGGACACTATTGTAAATACCACTCTACTTACCATGATATTTGTATTCGCCATATATACATGTTTACTAAATTTTATCGTGGATGGGTTGGGGTGACGCCCTCCCGCGGAAGCCTGGGCCAGCATGATGCTAGCTCAGCGCTTTCGGCAGACGCTTAATCGCGTCTGCAGGTCTTTAACGG